TCGCGAGCTGCGAGCTGTTTACGTTAAGTCATGATGTCATAGACAACTTAGCCTCTCAAACACCTGACGCGGCTGACACCATGTGGTAATAAGCTAAAAGCTGCCTCGTACCCAGACGTCTCTCTTTTGATGAAAATGTGCGCGCAAAGGAAGGCGGGAAGGAGACAACGGGCGAGACGTCTGGCAGATCTTGTTTTCAAGATGGCGGCAAGAGTAATGGCGGACCAATATGCAATTTTTAAAATAAGTTCAGCCCTGTTCATTTGCGAATTTTGAGCAAATCATTGCCTATCCACGTCGTGTGTGTGAAGAGGAAGCTGTTTTCACCCCACACATTGGACTCGAGCATCATAATGTTTACTACCGAACTACATAATACTACCGAACTTTATATCGAAAAACTACTAGCTGCGGACGGGACAGTACTGCCTTTAATTTAATGAAACTGCCGCACGCCAAGGTAACAGCCGGTCAGGAAAGTTAGTAAGTTAGTAATCGTTTCTGTTAAGGTCCCCAGTGATGAAACGATCTCTTCAGTCGAAGTGAAAAATGGCGAGCTGAGAATTGTTGCAACAGTCAAATGAAGCCAAATATTTTGTGAAGCTTTAAAATACTATTTGCTGCACGCTGTATCTTGAGTACTCGAAAAGGCAACAAACCAGTCTAGTCTCAAGACCTCTAACTTATGTTATTTATGAAATAGATGATAAAATATTTTTTAAATCTGTTAAATTTTTGTCTCAGGATTTCGCATTGTGTATCATTTGCTCGACAATGTAAGCTTATGTACAGAAAAAACAGCCACAAAACTAGCTCCAGGTTTTTTCTACTTGTATTTTTTTATTGTTCGATTACCTCACAGGGTACTAGACTTGTCACTGAATGCACAGCCCGGTGTAAATAAATTCTACTTACTTTTTATTTATATACCTCATTTTATGATGAAGCTGTGTCGAATTATTGTCTGTATTGTTTTTTTATTTGTTTTTGTGATATTACACAGTAGACCAATTTGGTTTTATCATGCTCTTTTATAAAACATCATTTGTGTCTTAATAAATAAATTATTGGTAACTTTGGTTTTAATTTGATAGACAATTTTGTTACCCTGTTTGAAGAGGGTGATGTAGTTGATGAGATACCATCGTAACTACCATTTGGCCAGGCAGGAGACGTTGCCCTAGACACTTTTTTAAAAAAATAATTGTGTTTGAATATTTCAAATTTCATGGCAAACAAGGTGCTGTGAATGCCATTTTAGAGAATAATGATTGCATTGTCCTAATGCCAACTGGTGGTAGGAAAGACTGAGTATTGTGAAGTTCTTGGGATCATTCTACCCAGAAACAACATTGCTGTTCCTGTGATTACTTATACATGGTTCCTTTCTTGGCAAACCTGTGGTAGCATAAAATTCCCCTCAAAAGTCTTCTGAAGGGGTAGTTTTTGACCTACTTTGGAGTTGCAGGGGAATACAAGATCATCTAATAATTATCAATGGACACAGAATTATCTTGAAATGCAAAAAACGTTAAGATAAGTGTAGATTGTTCCGCATAACTACTAACCCCCAACCCCCTTCCTAGAAATTATAATCAAGATACAGGCATCTAATGGAAAGAACAGTAAAAACAGGCCCCTGGACAAACTGGAAGAATGTGCAGTGAAAAACACTACACTACACTATTAGTAGGCTGATGTCAGGTCTATTAACAGTGTCAAGCAATGAAAAATGCCAGCTGTTTTAAGTATGGACCAGAAGCTCAGCCATGCAAAACCCTCACCCCTTTCCATTGCTTCCACCTCACCCAGAGAAATAAAAAATATTGCTACTGTTCCTTAAATTAGTGTCACTGGACATTGAATTGATGTATGTTTTATGAACTTCTGCTGTTATTATTGAACTGAGATGTGGTCAGGTCATTGAACTATGGTCAGCAAAAGAGAAAACCTGCACCCCTAATCCAACTTAAACTCGATCTAGCTGTCTTGCCCAAAGTAATAAAATACTTTGCTCCTACAATTCCTTTATTTTGGACAATGGAAATTGGGTTAATATGTGTTTTTTGAACTAATACTGCGATAAAAGCATGTGTGCAGTTGCCCCTTCCCCTCAGAAAAAAATTGCTGTACATGGGCCACTGAGATTATTGAACGAGCATGTTGTCATTGAACTGACTTTTGTTAAAAAAGGGTTAAGCCTTTCCCCTTCTTTTACATTTGTGTGTCCCAATAAAGTTACATTGAGACCACAGACCTGGAGTTTGAATGAGATGTAGTAGTGTGTTCATTGAATCATTGTGTTTTAACTGAACTATATACTTCATTCAACCTTTATTCAAACATTTTTAGTCTTGCAATAGGGGTGCCATCATGCCAGACAGCTAGCTAAATAAAATTAGTAGTGTAACAATAATCAAATTCTTGATTAATCGTGATTATGACCGTTCAGTTCAATTCAGGATTCTTTGCTTGCGCATTTCGATTTTGGTTCGGTTTTTGCACTCCTTTTCCAGGGTGCCCTCAGTGAGTTATTATAGTCTAAAATAAGAATCCAGAACTCTTTAATGTGCATTTTTGATTGACGAACAAAGATGATAGCAGTTCGTGCGCCATTTTGAGTTGCCTGGCAAAAATGCTGTCCTTCAACCTCCCCTTGAGAATTTCCAAATAAGGCAATTAACCATATGCAACACACTCTTTGTCAGGTTCTCAAACATGGCAACGAACCAAGTGACTGTGAATCCTCCTGTCTCTGTTACTATTCTTATATTGAGGATTTAGGGTTGCATGCTGTTTACATTACGCGTTATGTTATAAGAATTACAAAACATTTATGTAATCGAATCGAAATAATCGAAATCGAAAGGCAATAATTGAAATCGAATCGAATTGCAAGGAATATGAATATTTTATTTTTTTACACCCGTAAATAAAATGAAATAAAGTTAAAACTAATGATAGCAATAACAAAACCTCCTACAAAAGATAAAATCGATAAATATATTTTAGCATTAATTATTGTACAATATATAAAGGATATTACATGGCTGCGCGGAGATACAAAGAACGAGAAGAGAAATTTCGTATCTCCAAGTAGCCATGTAATGTTCTATTTATTATATAAACACCAATGAAATACCAAACCATTTCACTTTAATAGTTTTTGGGTGTGAAAGGCATGATTTGTTATGTAGCCATAGCAAAGGTCATATTTTCATATGTGAAGATAACATGTTATTTTCACATGTGAAGATATCAAGTTTTCGCGCGAAAGCTCACCTGGTATTTCACCTGGTATTTCAAATAGTAAAAAAGACTGCCTTTATAGCTGGAGATTTTCGTTTCCCTCATCAAGATGGAGAGAAGTAGTCCAAAATGATGGATTGATCAATGCTGGCACCTTCCTTCTCTTAACCCCTTCCCTGATCCGAAAATAAAGTTCATTACTTATCTCTCGAGAATCTAGGGATCTTGTACCGAGAGTTAGGTAATTTTAAGCTTCAACAAGTTACGCATTTTTATTTCTTTTGTAAAAAGCATCAACTGAAATATATCCATCTGTCCCTGGTTTCATAGTTAGTAACGTCGCAGACTTAAATCTTGGTGTAAGAACATAATGTGATCTTGATAATCAACTCCTGACCTTGCACAATCTAGCTAGGCCTTAAACTTCTTTCAATTCACAAGGTTACTTGCTCGTTGTTCGGTGGATTTGGCCTAAAAGAGCGAAAAATAGAAACATAGTCGCCGGCGCTGTACTTTACTAATCCGGATTCTGCAATAAACGACAAGTTAAATTCTAAAATATAAGACTTACCCGATACCTTCAAGTCATCAAATATTTTGTTAGAGGTCTTCGATTCGTATGAATCCAGCAGAATCCGACTCCTTTGCAGCCTGTCGATTATTTCTACCTCAGGTTTTGAAATTTTGAGCCATTCACCTGTCTACTCAAAGTTTGCAATGTTTACAACAATATGCTACTAAAATTGATCGCTTCCAAGACTTAAAAAGACCAAAAATTGGGCCGTGCCAAGAAAACGACTTTTTTGCCAAGAAAGCGACACAAGATCTGGCAGGCGCTTCGCCTGCTGTCTGTACCCTTCCCATGGTCCCTTGCGGTTCATCACCAGTCACTCGTTTCGCGCTCGCCTCTGCCATGCGAAAAACGAAGCGCCTGAGGAGGAGGCTGTATCAGGGACTGTAAGAACCGACAACTCCACCTTCACCGGCGAAAATTGTCTGATTGGTCGACGCGCGACCACGTGACATTGCCAAATTCAAAATGGCGGCAATACATCCATCGTTTGTTTATTCCAGTGGAAAGAAGTGAAATTGCGGCTTAATATNCCGGTCACCTAAACTTTGAGAGGTAACAAAGGCCGCTTTTGTAGTCCTAATGGTTTCAATTATATTATAATAACTTTTTTACCGCTTAAAAAGAGGTTGATCTTGAAACTCGCCCCAGTCCCTTAGCCCAGAATGATGAACTGGAATGACGTAAAAAACCGCCATTTAGATCTACAGAGAAGTATGAGACAATGCACTTTTTCCACGATCGGGTGATTTGAAATCGCTTTCCTGAAAACTTATAGCCCAGACACGCAAATTGGCTCTAGGTTTTTGTAGGATCCATAATTATTACTATACGAAGAGAATTCTTGTTGTTTCGAAGATTTCGCGCCGCGCATTTAGGAAAAAAAACACTTAGATTTACGGCGGGAATGCAGGGCGAAAACAAGCATCCGAAAAATTTGTTGATTCGAATTTAAACAGAACAAAATAAAACAAACTAACCCAATTGTGTATACACATTCTGTGGATACTCGATGAGGATGTTTTTATTGCTGATTAGAACGCTCGTCGCGAGCTGCGAGCTGTTTACGTTAAGTCATGATGTCATAGACAACTTAGCCTCTCAAACACCTGACGCGGCTGACACCATGTGGTAATAAGCTAAAAGACTTTTCCGAGTTTTCCCACTGTCATGAATCGGTATGAACTCTGCTTCAACCATTGTCGGTCAAGTTATCCATTGTGTTTACACTTGGCTCCCAAGACCGGCTAAAAACAAGACTAAAGAACAAAAGAAGGGCCATCAAGGGCATAAAAAGCGCGTAAATTTTTCACAGCAAGTGAAAGAACAAAGCGAGGTTAACTCCCGCATGCTGGAAAGCCATAAAAGCTCCAACCGGCTTCCGAGTACACCGGACCGCCCCAAGGTTTGTCTACACTTCCTGCCTAAAGATTACAAAGAAGATGGTGTTTTTTCTCAACAAGATTTTGCAAGCTGTAATCTCGAGGTAGTTGGCTACAAATTTTTGTCGAACGAGAAAAAGATCAGCAAAAGATCTGCGCTTAAGAAGTGGTTGCGTCAGCGCACTAACGTCGTCCACAATGAGAATTTCCATTTGGATGAGCGGTCCCATGGAACAAGACATGAACTTTGTTTTAGAGAGGTTTTTGAATGTTCCCCGCGGCTAGCAGGTATCATTAGGGAACGTATTTAACTTCTAGTAGTTTTAAGTTTACCGCGGCAGGGAGTTGCGCGGAACTCGAGCTGGTCGACAATAGTGAGCTTTAATAAGCAAAGAGTTTTTTGAGCGAAGTACGTCAACCGGAAGTGGCGTCAACCGGAACCGAGCGGTGTGGTTTTGTCCAAATTCTTAGACAAATCTCTGATCTATAATAGTAAAGACACTTAGAAATACAAATTTGGTAGCGTTAAGGTGCTTTAAAATTTAAACGACCTCACCGGCTTTCGGTTGACGTGCGTCGCTCAAAAACGCCTTTGCAATGAGCTTCCTGCTAGCGCTTGCATGGGGTCCAGACCGTAATAGCCCCCGTCTTAGAAGTAATTTAACCCTGGCCAGTTAGTAAACGTCTGTGGAGTAGTAGACTACGAGTACTCTCCCATTTTTCCTCAGGGATAGTAGAGCGCGCGTGAAAATCGCATTTCGCTCGCTCTACTATCCCTGAGGAAAAACGGGGGAATACTCGCAGTCTAGCGGCGTAGCGCTGAGATCATTAGTCTGGGCCACCAAAGGACTCAACAAAATGCCAGAAGTGCGTTTCAAATTTTCTTCCAAGTTGATTTGGCAAATTGACGATGTCGTTTTATAACAGACTCGACCAATCATGGCGCGTACTCAAGCCTGGTACATAGATGGGGTCCAGAACAAGGATTTTGGCGCTGCTTCCTCACAACCTCGTTCCCAGGTTTCTCTCCTACCCGCCCTAGCTCCGTAGGGCGGGTAGGAGAGAACCCTGGGAACGAGGTTGGATCCGTAGACGGATTTAACCCAAACTAAGTGGAACAATTAAAATAAATGTTTCTATGTGGAAACTTCGTTCTTAAGCCATTGCATATCGGAGAAATTCATGTCAAATAACAAAATAATGCAACTTGCTTACTTCTACTGGAACACAAATGAGAAAAAAGCCGACAAGAAAACGACCTTATTTCACGATGTAATCTGCCATGACTGCGATATTGCCCTATTCTTCTGGAAAAATGCACCATAGGATACTATTCGATCGTCGTCTGGATTTAAAGGGACTGTGTCACGATAGCTTCGTGCACTTCTCCTCAATGACTTCGAATTTTCTCGACAATGCTTGAACAAAAATACAAAATATGGTGTTTAAAGGGGCTATGTCACCCCACACGCATGCGCGAACCAATGAAAACAAACTTGAAAAAGTTGGCCCGTCTTTTTCAAGTTCTGTCGGAGATTTTGGGAGGCTGTTTTTATCTGTCTAAATCTCAGCCATCGTTCGATAGTTAGCGAAGTTTTGTGTTAAGAATCGTTCTATGGTGATTACAGAATAATTTTTTGGCGTTATTTTGAAATTGTTTGCCTGTGGAATGTTTTTACGTGGATTTACTGTGTCCTCTTATCAGCGGCCGTTGTAATGGCAGAGTTAATGACGGCTACTCCACAATGAGTGATGGAATCTTTGATGGAATCTTCCCTATAGTTCACAGAACCTTTCTATTGAGTTATTTTAGAGGTTGCTGGCTCTTGGATTTTTCTTGTGCTCAAAGTATGTGGACATATAATGAAGCGGCTATCGAGTTGGCGGCGGCCGTTTTTGGTAAACGATTACAAGAGCATCAGGCCATGAGTTTCGTGACCAAACTAAACTCCTGGCGAAGGAAACATTATAAAATTCGGCTAGATTCCTTCTTGTATTTATCTGGATTCACGGCAAAGATAAACACGACCGTTTGCTCGTCCAGATTGTTCTCAACGGACTTAGAGAGGCACCTTAGTACGAGTTAGATCCTGTAAATGCCATGTTTTTGAACTGTTTGTGTTCGAGCATATTTTTGGAAAATAGCAGAGTTTACTTTCCCTTTTTATCAACGGACTGCTTACAGTGGAGTAGTATACCAATGATGCCTGGTTCTGTTTTTCTCGACGTCGCAGTGATTCGGCACGATCGAACAATTTTGCGCGATAATGTATCTTTCCCTAAGATCAAAACAAAGACTTGATGTCTCTTGTTCTCAGCATCTAAATTATAAAATCACTAGCGACAGACAAGTCTAATTGTTAATGATTTGAAACAGCCTTGGTCTTTATTTTTGGTGTAGCGTCTTTTGTAGCTCGTTTGTAAAATACAACTTCGATTTATTTTGTTGAATAAGACAATATGTTGTTGTTGAATTTTTGTTTGCGCACTATTTTATGAATGGCATGCGTTTTTACGCCAAAACTACAAGTAAAATTGTGGTCACAATTTTATTCTTGATCTAGCATAACCAGAGAAGAAACGTTCCGTAAATTCTATCGAAATATCCCTTATCTAAACCCATTTCGCTTGTTAACCTCTCTAAATTCGGAGCCTTGGACGTGACAGAGAACAAGGAGAAAGTCACGCGTTAAAAACAATAGAATTTTGACAGTTGAAAGTAATTTGCATAACCTCAGAGCGCATGCTCTCCAGCTGACATAGCCCCTTTAAAACTTCCAAAATGGACCAAATAGCTCTTGAATACTGATATTATGGCTTTCTCGGGCGTCTCAGGGTCGATGGAAGAGGATTTCTTCACCAACAGCCAATCTTGAAAAAACGTTCGCCGGAACAGAAATCAAGATGCCGCACATGCGCAGAAGCGTGTCACGGTCCCTTTAACCTGAGTTTAGTTTCGTCTGTCACGCAAGCTATAACCGTTACAGAGAAACAAAATACTGCCATAAAAATCTCTGTAAAATCCCTTGTCCGTCCATTTAACATCGTAAGATTTGAAGTCCGATGGGATATCCAAAAGCCCTCATCTGCTGCGTACTTCGAGCTGAGCTGAGACACAGTGATTGACAGGGAAACAAATGCTTTGCTTTGTTTTCGTTAATGCATCGGTTAATTACCGTAAAGCCTCTATCGAGGCCTCTTTTCTTGTAATACTCCTTTTAAAAAAGAATGTTATGAATTCCCCTTCCTTGCCTTCTTTACTGTTACAATCCGCAATGGGTCATTTGTGAGTTGCCTACAGCCTTTATTCAAGCTAGGCTAAGTGCGAAGTACTGAGTAGTTACCGTGTGGCACGAAATTTTTGCGGGTTCTAATTTTTGCGATTTTGCAGTGATCCGCAAAAATAAGTTCCCGCAAATGAAAATTACTGCAAACATTTTTCCCGCAAAAATTTACTCAAGAGTAAACATTCTTTCTAATTTGCTACACAAAAATACAGTACTAAAAAAATCGCGTCTGTTGAGGTCATCTTGGTTCTTTCGTTCAGAAACAAAACGGTAAACAATGAAATACTGGTTTTACATAGGTTACGCACAACGTAGTATTCTTTGAAAATATGTATTTCTATTTCACGTACTCAATAAAAACGAAAATATTATCAATGCTGGGTACTGGGTACTTTCTGAAAATTGCAAAAATTAATTCCTAGCAAGAAAACCAATCTGCATTGCTGTCCTAATCGCAAAAATTAGTTCCCGCAAAGCACAAAAAATCGCCAATCCGCAAAAATAAACTTCCGCAAAAATTTCGTGCCACATGGTAAATCATTTTCTTTTAAATTATCAATGCTGCTGTATTGTAGTTTACTACACAGCCGTTTTAAGTGTCGTCAAGCGACTCTTCTCCCCACGACACTAAAAACGACTGTGTACATGTAGCAGACTAGCTGTATTGAGGAAAGCTGACTTTTTGAACTAGCATCACGTACAATATGTGGGTCACGTGCAACGAACAGAGAACGGTCACATACCAAGGGGCGTAATATTATATGGCGAGCTGGCCACTTTACGGAGGCACACACCAGACACCAGCTAGGAACTGAACACCACCGTGGCTGGCGCCATGCTGTTTAAGAAGGCGAATCATGAGTGGCAAGAAAAAGCGGAACCAATCAAATCACAAATCAAATCAAATCACTGGTTTATTTTCCCTTTTGCAATCGGAAGACTGAATTGTAGGATACCTTACAAGCTGTGACAAAATTTGAGAAACGTTCAGTCCTTGTGGCCATGAGCCTACTAGTATAGAACTCCCCGAGGTAGACACACATGTGGTAGATATAGGTACCACTCTGTTATGTATTAGTGGGTATAAAGGGTTACCTGGTCGAACCGTACCTGTAAATTTAATACACGAGACTGCACGACGGTCAGAAAGAGTGGATAATGCAGCTTTTTCAAGTGATGTTTCATAAGAAATACCTGGCCAAATGATGGAAAGGGCCCTTTTTTTCACATTCTCAAGATAGCAAGCAAGATAAACAAATAAGTGGCCGCCATGACTGGCGCCGATTGTTTATGGGAACCAAAATGAGAACCAAAAATTGGATGACAGGAGACAATGAATACAGAAATGTACAAGAATTTAGCAGACTAAATCGTCCAATCCACTGTCCAAACGTGTTTGTAACATCTGTGAAAGAGACTGTTACGCAAGGATAGGACTTAGTGCTGAGACACTTCCGGCAAAACTGCAATCAACATTGCCTAGCTGATTTTGGCCAGACAGACGCGTGCCTACCATAGCTTCTGTTTCAAAAGGAGCCCCCAACTGTGAATTCTTCAAAAGTAAAGATTTTGCTTAATTCGCGAATGGCCTATTACAATCAATTCTCTCTATAGCGGACACTTCAGAGACCTAGTGTCCTCATTAGAGAGAGCTGTGTCCGTAATAGCGGAGTCAAGAATATCTGTAATTTATTTTATCCTGGGATTTAGCTGCTGTCCGTATTATCGGGGTGTCTGTAAGGCGGGAGTTGACTGTACTCTGGCAAAAGATTTACGCCAAACTGCACCTCTGGGATAACAGTACCACAAGTGGTTCTTCTTCTTCCTTCGCGATTAGCAGTACGTTGAACTTGGCTAATTAAGAGCCTTTTCCACTTAGGCTCTCTCCACTGATTTCCGTCCCTTAGCCGTCAAGCACAGCTTAAACAACCCCCCCTCCCCGCCGCCCCCCGCCTCCTCCTCCTCCGCTCGTAGATAGGGGAGTAAATGACCGTATATGGTATCTTGTTCTTGTTATTGCAGATTCCAGATACCAAAGGGAAAATCCTGGACTCAAAGGAAGGAGACGGTTTCCTAGGAAACAATGGTCAAAGGAAACATTGCTCGGAACGATTGACGGGGAAATTAACAGCAGCTTAGTTGACTTGAATGAATCTCTATCTGTAATTAGAGTTAGGCCTTCTTGTGCGTAACAGAAACTCAATTTTACGCATTTATGTAATAAGTTAATACCATAAAAAAAAAATTAGAATAAAACCAACTTGGAGGAGCATGTCTTCTTAATGATTTCTGACGCCTGAGGTACAGTTCTCCAAAAAACACAGAAGTTTTACAGTGTTGTTAGAGCCAGTTTTTCCCAAGCATCCATCTTGAGCGCCTTAAAGTAGGAGACGGCAGAAAAGAAATGAAAGGGAGAACAAGTGTGAGAAAGCCGATACTAGTTCACATGCTTCACATGCTATACAACAGAGTCCCCTCTTGAAAGACAAGTCTCTAGGTAGACCATTCTATTTTATCTCATTCCCCCTTTTTTTAGCCACAATTCAAGTCATGCGCCTCATGTCATATTTCAATAAAGAAAAATTATGCCTTTGTCCTGTTAAAAAATCATGCATTCATACACACGTGATTAGTGTTGAGTGGTCTGAAATGGTAATTAAAAGTAAGCACACTTAGTCTAAAGATGCCTGCATGTGAGTATCACTGTTTTTCTTCTTTTAAATAGTGAAATATTCACATGTGAAAATGACACCTTTACTTTGTTATGACTACTTGACAGAACAAGTAAAACTCCAGCAAAAGTGTATAAAAAATATAATATGTAAAAAATCTCTCATTAACAGAATATAATTGACATTCGCCACTTTAGATACAAGAAGGAGACTGGGCCTAGTTTACTTTCGCAAAGACTTCTGGGACTTTTACTGGGGATAGGAAAAAATGGACTAGTAACGATCCTAGAAGTCTTTGCGAAAGTTTTAATTGGGTCGAGTTTCTTTCAAGTTTCTAAAGTAACGAATGGGCCGGGATTTTCACTGGTAACGGTAAACCGTAAACCGTTACCGTTACTACGAGTACGAGGTTTTCTCAATGCTGAATATTGCTCACGCTTGAACCAGCGTCATTTTGGCGGGAAAACGAGATAGCCGTCGTCAACCGACTACGAGTTTTTGCGAGAATGTCATAGTGGCGGGAACAAGTTATGAAATGTAAGAAGTTTTGTCATTTTGCCATCATGCTCGGGAGAGGGCTTAACCTCCTTCAGTATAAATAACTGTACTAACTTTGTTGCTGGTGTCTTTTTTTCAGAACACGCGCGCAAATTTTAGGTTAAATCTCGTACTCGTCGCTCACTCTCGTCCTCAAATCTAAAGCTCTCTAATAACTCAGACCCGTTACTATTCAAAACCCAAGGACAGGGAATATGGCGCTTGCGGTCTATGAATTGTTCGAAACATTCGATTTCTGCATGATTCGCGGTGAATAAATAAATTTCTTGTGTAGTCTGAGTGTTATCTATTTGGTTGCTATGTATCAGTGTTATATGTATGTATATGTTGGAATGCATGTTATTCCTCGGTAGTGGTCTTAGAGAAGTTGCGTTGCTAGTAAGCGTGCATATAACAGGCGCATAAAATGAAGGACACAACGTTTACAGTTGATTTATTTAATGCAACTTACAGCGCAAGCGGGTATTCAGAAAAGTGCTAACATCTCACTGGGGGGTATCTCAACTATGACACTTAAAAGACAAGGAGAAGGAAATGACATGTTTCTATATCTCTAAAAAAAATCATAGGTCTACAATTCAAGTTTGTAAGACAATTTGAAAGTTTTTGTAACTCGGAGATGACCTATTTATTATTCATTTACCGGCTATAAATTCAATTGACTTGACCTTGTACACAGGACATGGCGTTTGAAAATAATTTCCTGCAACAAATGTTAGGTGGACCAGCAATAGTAACAGCAGGATTACTATACATGAAAGCAACAAACTGATAACCCAATCCACCTCGAGTCGCATTCCTAGGGTCAGTGATGGGATTGTGTGAATTGTCAAAATCACAAACAGCTGCCTCACCAACTTTGTGAGACCACCTTCCGTTGGCATCCAAACGGTACCAGTGGAAGTCCCCACCACCTGAAGGTCAAAGATAAACAAATTCTTTTATATACAAACTAGGGGTATCTTTTAACTGACTTTTAACTTCAAAGAATATCTATTAATGGAGTAATCCTAAACGGCGTGGGAATGAAACAACCATTTCTCCTTCAACTACGGTGGAGATATGGATTTGCAAGAGAGGATATCATCTCCTATATAGTACCCATATAGTACCAATATATTTATTGGCTCTCAATAGTCGACGTTAAAAAAAAGACATTTTTATTAAGCTTTATTTTTATTGTGCATTGTTTTTCTTGTTGTTGTTGTTGTTGTTGTT